GCAAAAAAAGCACGTTAGGGGAGTGAACATCTTTATAGGTTGCGCATAATCAAATGTCTTTTTAATGGTCTCCTCTATGCGACTATCCCAGGCTAAAGTCACCCATGTCTTTTCTTCTTCTAAAATGAGATCAAGGGCGCCTGGGTGGCTCAGTTGGTTAAGCGACTGCCTTCGGCTCAGGTCATGATCCTGGAGTCCCTGGATCGAGTCCCGCATCGGGCTCCCTGCTCGGCAGGGAGTCTGCTTCTCCCTCTGACCCTCCCCCCTCTCATGTGCTCTCTCTCTCTTTCTCTCTCATTCTCTCTGTCTCAAATAAATAAATAAAATCTTTAAAAAAAATAAAAAAAAAATAAAATGACATCAAATAATGAAGCTACCCAGGTACCCACTGCCTGCAGCATAAAAATGTTCTGATAGGTAGGGGGAAAAAATTCCAAATTTTGTTTTTATTTCAACAGATGCTAACATCCTAGGTCCTTTCAATTTTTTTCTTCCTATGTTTTTCCTTTTCCAGTTTAGGCATATCAGGATAAGTGCATAACTAAATATAAATACTCAAATCTATTCCCCATTTATAAAAGTGTATTTTGCAACGGAAAAATGAAAGCCAAATTCATTAAGTTATTTTGACAGTTCCTCACCTAAAAGTGTATATATATTTCTGTGCTTATTTTTTTATTCCCTGGAGATGAGAAGAAAGGGCCAGGTACAGAGATGAGAGTGTTATCAATGAGGCAAGCCGACAAGATCAGACAAAAATGTATATAAAGTGCTGAGCATAAGTCTATAAGAAATGTTAAAAGAAATGGCAAATACGGAGTATGTTCATTTTCTCTGTCTTGTAGACTTTTCCATCTGGATTTGAGCTAGAATTTAGACTCATCATGTGCAAATTCTTACTCTTACTTACATTCTTTCTCTCCCTCAATCCTGTGATACGACTTGCCCTTTATTTTGTGTCTCTTTCTTGCTTTCCTAAGTTAACAGCCTTATCATCTGCTTAGCCATCTCAGCTAGAGATCGCAAAGTTGTCTCCAACAGTTCTTGGCCCACATCTTGGAGTATCATTCATAACCATGTCACTACTCTAGCGGTCAAGTATATCCATCTCTTCCACTCCATTGGCTCTGTACGATTTTCTGTTTAGATGCTCATAAACTCTTCATGAGCTATGACATAGTTTCTGGTTGTCAGCATCTCTTTCATCTGCTACTGCTATAAGGGTTATATTCTAAGACCGTAACTCTGTCCAGTCAAGCCACTGAGTTAACGAACTGTTTCTTGGATTCTATTGCACAAAGCTTTAGTACAGTCTCTGGTAGTCGTAAAGGACTATTCAAATCCCTGTGAATCTGATTAATTTTTGGCACTCACTTTTATTATTCACATTGCTTTGAATTTTGCAACATGGTGTCCATCTTTTTATGTCATTATTTGTGAATTTGTCTTACTATTCTAATTGTTCTTTGCTAATATCAGATGCATTGTCTTCCAAATGGGATTTGTCCCATTTAAAACTGTAAAAAAAAAAAAGATGTGTGATTTCCTTTCTCAGTGGGGAAAACCTCTTCTATATTTGCCACTTTTTCTCTTGAATTAAAGGAGAAAAACCCACCAAATCTGACATATACCCCACATTAATTCTTTCTTCCAAATAGAAAAGTATTTTCTCTGTCCATAATATGTCTGCACCATGACACAGGCTTTTTCTAGCAACATCTTTATAAGTGAACTATCAGATTTTAAAAAATACCACACCATTTTTTAATTTCAAAATTTTGAGCTCAGAACTCCCTCAAATATTTTGCTCTTTAAAGAATTCTTAACAATGTTCCAAACATGATACCATTTCTCCCTTATAGTCTACTTAAATTGTATGCATACATTCAAATCTAAGACTGTTGAAGAAGTACCATGTTCTTTCTACTCTTGTGAACATTTCATGAATTTTTGAAAATTTTATTTAAAGAAACACCATTGCCATTAAAGGGCCATAACTCTGCTTCTAAACAATAAACTCTTTTTTTTTTTTAATCTTGAGATAAAGAATGAATTCTATAACTGATGCCTGGTATGAAAATAGATTTGAGGGCTTCCTCATATGATTTGAGGTTCTCCCCACTTTCACCTCCAAGCTTCTAAGTCCCACTGACTGGAAATCTCTAAATTAGAACAATTAAATCTGAGAAAGACCCCCAAATGAATGGTCTTATTTTTTTCTAAATGTAGAAAATTAGCTCAAAAGAAAAGAGATTATGTAGTTGAGAAACTCAAGGGGTAGGGGAGTGGACTGTCAGTGATTTAATTCTGGACAAGAGAGGTGCTTTTGGTGTCCACATCCCTTTGAAGGCTTTACACTGCAAACATTTGAAACTCTTTCCTGGCAGGCTTTCTCTGCCACCCCTTCCCACTCCTTGTTGAACATCAAATTCCTAAATATTCTCAGGTGCTTATGGTGAGGACTTCTCAATAGATTTTCTAGTTCCTGTTACTGTTATTCAACTTCCTTTACTTTGTTTCAACCTATTTTCTTTTGGAGTGATTATTGTTAGTGCTTACAAGTACTTTCTTTTTTTTTTTAAATTTTTTATTGTTATGTTATCATTTGAGTTGTATCTTTAATTTACCAAATTCCCCTGACGTATCTTGCTAAATCCAGCGGTCATTTCTCCCTGACTAAAACTCCTGCCATCCTGAGTTCCGACCTTCCTGGCTTCAGCACACCTTCATTTATTTATTTATTTTTAAAGATTTTATTTATTTGACAGAGAGAGACACAGCGAGACAGGGAACACAAGCAGGGGGAGTGGGAGAGGGAGAAGCAGGCTTCCCACGGAGCAGGGAGCCCGATGCAGGGCTCGATCCCAGGACTCTGGGATCATGACCTGAGCCGAAGGCAGACGCTTAACGACTGAGCCACCCAGGCGCCCCAGCACACCTTTATTTATTGCCATAGTAACAGTGTTTCTCATATTCCATCTGTGTTATTCATGTATTTGAAATATTACCTGACATGAAACAATCACTTATCTTCCGTTTGTCTACTGCAAACTTGACTAACAGATCAGGTTTTACCTACTTCTTTGAGTTGTTTCAAAACCTAACATCTTCCTTATTTACACAAAGATAAATTTAATATTCTGTGCTATAATTTTCTGATTATGCAAACTGTTATGGGCTGAACTGTGTCCCCCCAGACCCAAAATTTATATATTCGAGCCCTAACTCACAGTACCTCAAGATGTGACTGTATTTGGGAACATGACCTCTAAAAAGTAATTCAGGTTAAATGAGGTCATAGGAGTAGGCACAAATCCAGTTGGACTGGTATCCTTACAAGAAGAGATTTGGACACACAAAGAGATATCAGAGGCATGTGTGCAAGGCAAGTATGAGGAGGAAAAGGAAGCATGGTGGGGGGCTATCCGCTAGCCAAAGAAAGGCCCCAGGAGAGACCAACACTGTTGGCACCTTGATTTTCCAGAACTGTGAGAAAATAAATTTGTGTTGTGTAAGTCACCCAGTTTGTGACATTTTATGATGGCCATCCTAGCAAATTAATACATGCATAAGTGACTTACTTATAAAAACACAGTAATTTATATGTATCAAACTAATAGTGTGTAAGCAATTTATGATAAATCAGAAAATAAGAGAGGTAAAATGTTAAAACTGGGCATTATTATGTTGTGTGTGAGCCATGGGTCTCCTTTTACTAGCATTTGTATTGAGACCGTATAATTCAAATAAATTCTCATTTTATTTTATTTTTAATGCAGGGATTAATAGAAAATATCAACTACTGATTTCTCTGGAAGGATTGCATAGTGCCTCTTGATTATTTATGTTTATTTAAAAAGAGGACTTGTTAAAAGGAAAAGGTTACTGAAGAGGAGAATTAATAAATTTTCTTCAAGACATTTTAATGCACATGAAAGAACATTAAAGTCAGGCTAACATACCTGGTCTTGAATCTCAACTATGTCTCTGCTTTGCACGACATTGGAGAGGTGGCTGACCTCTCTGCCTGGACAATAATAAACTGGAATATCTATTTCTTCATTCATAAAGAAATTTCTTAAAACTTCCCAGGCTGTTGATAGGGTTATATGTATGTATTATCATCTAATAGCGTTTTTAGCATGTGCAAGCCATCAATAAATAGAACTATTACCATTTTACTTAGAAAACTGTGACTAGAATGAATTGTGATGAGTCAGTGGTTGGTACCCTGAGAGAGTCCAAGGCAGACCAAAGATGAGGGAACTTTGTCTCCAAATACATAGTCAAAGTAAGGTAATGAAGAAAAATTTAAAGATATATAAGAGTTTTTCAAAACTATGTCAGAGTGCCTGGTTGGCTCAGTTGGTGGATATGTGATTTTTGATCTCAGGGTTGTGAGTTCAAGCCCCATACCAGGTGTGGAGATTACTAAAAAATAAATAAATAAAAATCTATTTAAGGAAAACTATATTCACTAATACATTAACAACGAACTCTGGATTTCCCATGCCTATAATCCACTATGTCACCTACCTTTTTCAACATATTTGTCTATTCAGCTATCTCTTACTAGGTGGTGGTAAGACTTTAATTTTTATAATATTACCTTGCACTTTTCTCAAATTTCAGTGAGGAAGAATACTTTAGAAGCTTAAAATCCATAACCCTGCAACAGACAGAGTCGACTTTTGACTAGGCTGTACAGATTCAAGGATAAGCATATTTTATAGGAAGTGGGAAAGTCATTAAGGTTAATTAGAAATGAAATGAGTTTAGTTAATTAGAATATTTGGGAGAAATTATACCAGCTACTCATTTAAAAAAGAGAACCAGCTGATCCAAGAGGGAGAGAGAAAAGAAAGCAAGAGACTGAGAGAGAGAGAGAGGGGAAGATATAAGTAGAATTATGGAAACTGTTCATTTTCATTCTGTTGACCTCAGGACAAAGCCGAGTTAAGAACACAAGGGAAGTTAATTCTCAAGTGTGAGCAAGGACTGAAGAATCAGGGCCTGTGGGGGGCGCTGGGCTCAAGAAGGCACGTGCCAGGCCAGGCCCTGGCGGTGGGGAGCGGTCAGAAGCCCAGGGGGTTGCTGGTGACCATGCCACCTCGTTCCACCAAGGCCTTGGAGATGCTCTTGAAGTTACGGAACAGCTCCTGTTGCTGTGGGTCAGACTGCAGAGTGGCCATGTTCTCCCGCACCCGGGCTGCCGCCTCGATACACCAGCTGTCACACAGCATCTTCTCGTGCTGGGCTGTAGGGTGGCCCTCGCTCAGGGATCTTGAGGCCCTGGACAGAACTACCACCATGGCGTAGAGGTCAGTGGCACTGTCTGCCAGGCGCTGCAGCACGAACTGTTCATTGACGATCCCCTTCTTGTGTTTTATTAGCTTGGCCTCCACCACAGCGGCGAGCTGCTCCAGAGCCTCCACTGTCAGCTCTCCGCTCCGATTCAGCTCCGGGGGGATGACAGCACTGAGACTCAGGCCACTGCCCAGCCCTGCCCGCCTCCTCAGCTGTTTGCCTGCCTCTCCTAGCAGGATGCTGGCTTTACCAAAGGGATTCTTTAGAGCATTGCCAATTCTAGAAATTTCCTTGCCTTTATCCATACAGCCCTGAAGAGCCACAAACAGCTGGAGAATGTCATCGGTCCCCTCAAAGATCCGGAAAATGCGAAGGTCTCGGAGAACGCACTCTCCCCCAGGCTCCTTCATGAAGCCCATGCCGCCCATGATCTGGATGCAAACACTCCTCCCAGTTTCTCTGGCCCAGGGACTTTTACCTTAAGATGATTATAGTAAATAAATGTAAATATTTATGGCATTTTGTTATGACAGCCTTAAATTAATGCACATATAAGTGACTTACCTATAAAAACACATGTGATGGGGCGCCTGGGTGGCTCAGTCGTTAAGCGTCTGCCTTCGGCTCAGGTCATGATCCCAGCGTCCTGGGATGGAGCCCCGCATCAGGCTCCCTGCTCAGCAGGAAGCCTGCTTCTCCCTCTCTCTCTGCCCCTGCTTGTGTTCCCTCTCTCGATGTCTCTCTCTCTCTCTAATAAATAAATAAAATATTTAAAAAAAAAACCACATGTGATAATAATCCAATTTATATACAAGTAGCTAACTGGATATAAGGATAAACAGTTGTCAGAGAGAAGGCCACAAGTGGTCTAATGAGCTGCCCTTTGGAGGAAGTCCCGTGGAGTGGCTGGGACAGGCCAGGGCCACGCATAAAGGTGAGTTCACGAGAGATAAACCTTGGCTCATGTATGGAAGGTTATCATATGCTTGAGAGAGCTTCTGGTTAAAGCTCAAGCCTAACGTCTGAGTGACTTACACTGGTCGGTGTAATTACTCAATCATGTTGTTGCATGTACCCTAGGCTTTTTCCCATCACAAGGCATCGCAGCCAGGGAGTAATAGCAGAATCTCATTCTCCTGCGGATCTGCTTAAGCACATTTGGAGCACTCCCAGCAAACGTAGCCCCCTTGTCTTTACTCCTGCTCACCTACAGCCAGAGAGAGGTAACAGGACATTAAGATTTTTCATAATGATTTGCATTATGTATGCTTGGGAAATAACTTCATTTAAAAGAAAAATAATTGTAGAGAATATTACAGTTTTATGAAACAAATCAGTGTAATCACCTCATATGTTGACATGTCATGCCCATGGTACCACATAATGACTGTCCTGCAAACAGAAATAATGAAATGTTGACATTAATGAATCTATAGAAATAGATATGCCAAACTAGGAAGCTAAGTTTCTTGTGTTGACTTGCAAATTGATAGGAAATTCTGGGTTTTCTCAAATGTGTTTAATATAAAATCAAAGTATGATACCTCTGGCTAATGTTGAGTAGAATGAGCTATTAGGGGACACTAGGAGTGTGTTAAGGACCCTCACACAGATTACTCAGAACTGGATGAAAGATTCTCTTCAGAATGGATTACCTTTCAAACTTTAGATACCCAGCTTTCTTGAAGACACGTTAGTAAATAATTTCACTAAGCCCCAAAAGTCTGAGCACCTCTGTCCAACACTGATCCCGCTACAGCAGCACATAAAATCCAACTTAAAATGAATTGAAATGTGTTTGGAGATTTGGAGAATCTTTGGAGTAACTCTTGACAGAATGAAAATTAGCCTCATATATAGTAAGAAAACTCCCTTTACCTCATTTTGCTAAAAGGCTGAGAAAAGCAGACGAACATGAAGAGGTAGATTGTGATTATCTGCCCACAATCAAGCAACTGTTTTCCCTTGGTGCAATGTGCAAAAATTTCCAATTATACGTTTATTTTACCCACACATGGTCATTGTCCCAGCTTTGCCTCTGAATATGCAAAATGATATAGAAAGCCGCATCTCCCAAAAGCCATACTTTTCAGACATGGGTTCAAGCTGTTTTGATTCATGCTCTTGACTTGCCATGGTCTGGAGCTCCCTGACTAAGAGAACTTCGGCAATGTTAGTTACTTCCCTTTGGGGTTCCCACCGTCTCTTCAAATTCCTTAGAAGAACAGCTACCTTGTGGGCAGTTAATATGATTAACATCATAAACATTTCTGAAGGCGGGCTATACTCATAAAGCTTAAAGCTAGTCTATATTCGTGAAAGGTAAGCATTGTGAGATAGAAATATTTAAATGAACTCATGTAAGTCTTGATAAAAACTCATTAACTGATTTTTTTCTTTTGTTGAGATGACTAGAAAGTACAGTGAGACTAAAAATACATTTTCCAAAATAGCATAGATTTGCAAACAAACCAAAAAAATAAAATAAAATCAACCAACCAACCAACCAAACAAACAAAAACTTGTATTCCTGGCTGAACGTCCAACCCTAGAAGATTTTCACATTTATATAAGCTGTCACATGTGCCTCAGTTTTGACAATCATGCTTCATACGCAGAGAGAAAAATATTTTTTTTCTGGTATTCAATCTTAAGGGCTTAATACATTATTTCCTTTCTATCTTTTTCTTTTTTTCTTTTTTGACAAACGTCAGGCATGTTTTTCTAAAGAAGGATATTGAAGGGAATGAATAAACTAATGATAGAACAAATAAGAGAATTGCTTGCCTTCCTCCTTTAACTATGTTAACCCCAAATCTTTATAACCACTTGCCACCTATCACTGTGTCTCCGTCCTGCCTCTTCCCTCTTCCTTCCATATCCAAAGGTTTCAGATAATTAATCACACAGAACTGTTTTTTTTTTTTTCACATGAATCTGCCCTGAGAGGCCTTTCAAACAATTAGCCTCTTTGCAAGTGTTCAAAGATGAGGTACACATTACCAATATGATAAAACTCTCCAGATTCCTTGCTTCCTGTCATGGATTTATGTTAGCCTAGTCTTTCAAGACTTTATTTCCAACTGCTTATGAGAAAACAGACAGAAGATGGCACTGTTTACTCATTAGTAAAAGGTCAGCAAACTCCACCTTAAAGAAAAAAAACTGCTTTCCCTGCGAGAACATACAATACTATTAGAAATTGGAAGTAAGACTGCATATATAATGAGCACAGTTTTTTAATATTACAATAGAAAATATAAATTTAAAATTAGACAAGGTAAACAAAACAGTTAGAAAACAGTCTCACTGACCACACGGAATTTTTAGAACAACCCATTTCAAGCAGAAGGCAATTGTAGTCACATATGGTAGAGGAAGGAACCAGGGACTTGGGTTTGGGTTCCAACTCAACCATAGACCTTGGCACAAGTTGTTCAATGTCTCTCTGAGTCTAAATGTTACTACAAAGTGGGGGTAATAACACCTACTCCGTAGGATAGTTTTGTGGATTGAATAACCACATAGTAAAAGTTCATTAGCAATTACCAGACTATAGCTTTTGGTTATCATTTTTTTAAAAAGATTTTATTCATTTGTCTGAGAGAGAGCACGAGCAGGGGGAGGGGAGGAGGAGGCAGATAGGATGGGGAGTGAGGGAGGTTGCAGAAGGACAAGCAGACTCCCTACTGAGTGGGGATGCCAATGGTGCGATATCCCAGGATCCTGAGATCATGACCTGAGCTGAAGTCAGACCCTTGACCAACTGAGCCACACAGGTGCCCCTTGGTTATCATCTTAATAAGACATCTATGATCACCATATAGCATAATGCCTAACCTAGAAAAGCAGTGTAGAAGTTGATTATATTACTAACAAGGAGACAAAAAAACTTAGCTGATTTGTGTGTTGATTTACTGATGATTCTTACTTAAACAAGAAGTTGGGCAAGTGTAAAAAGGAATTATTGTTACTAATCTTGAACTTTAGAGTGCTTGGCTAGTTCATTCTTTCCTTTTCCTTAGGAGAGAAATTTGATTATTCCCAATTAAATGATCGAAGGCGTTTCATTATTGATGAGAGAATTTTATTCTAGTTTTCAGAAGCACTAAGAGAATAAACTATTTTATCTAGATAGGTAGAAATAAAAGTATGTTCTTTTATGTTTTATTCTGTTACTGTAATTGTAGATATTGTTTGGTAGCCCACCTTCCCTGGGATGAACCCAAATGGGAAAATAGCATATGGTTAAACATTTTGTCCCAGTTGCTTCACCAAAATTTAAAGTAAAGATACATTATTTGTGCTCAATCTATACCAATTATATATGAACATTTTAAATTAACATATATAAATAAAGGCTTACTTTATCTTGTAATATTTAACTTCGTAACAATTTTAACTTTAAATATCAACAGTTGAAATGATTGTTCAGACATTGTTAAATGTTTAACTATTCATTCTCACAACCCTCGCGTGGTAGAGCTATCACCCAAAAGTCAATTTCTTCTTCTTGGGCACACAGCCAGCCTACGTTTCCTGGCCTCTAGTTAGATGTGGCCATATGCCTGAGTTCTGCCCAATGGAATGGGCATGGAAGGAACATATGTCATTTTTGTGCCAATGCTTCTTGGAAGAAGGTATGGGTTCCAACCATAAAAGATCGATTTTTCCCTCTATTGCCCAGATGCAGATGACAGGGAGGCCCTCAGGGATAGCAGAGCCACAAAATGTAAAGAATCTGGGTTCCTGTGTCTCCATGTGAAGGGATGCATCTGTGGCTCAATAGCTATTAGGCAAGTGGAAAATAAACCTCTATTTGTTCCAGCAGTTAATATTGCCCAAACTAATACTATCATTAAAAAAGGAGGGGGCTAGTAATCACATGGTAGCATACGATTTACTATGATTCATTAGAACTTTCTCCATTGAAATAGGGATACCAAGTAGTAAGTTCCTTTTGATGGGAGAGCAGACTGCTCATTCAACTCATTAGCAATGCTCTATGCTGGATGCTCATTTCTCATTAATCTATTTTTTTTTTAATTTAAAGATGCCAATGTCTCATCAATTGTTAGTGTTAGAGTACATTTGCACAGATATCTGCCTCCTCATGCTTTTGCTCAATTTTATCCATGAGACAATATAATGGAGAAAAATATTTAAAGCTAAAAATCGATAGCAGTCACTTATATGTTCCAATGGATGGGGAGTGAGTTTTTTTTTATTTTATTACTCTTTCCTTCCTCTCCCAAGTTTAGAGTGCAGCAGAAAGTTAGAAATTCCTAAGTTACAACTATTTCTTTCCTGTAGAAGAAGAGAACCTGAAGAGATGGCCCACTGTAGAACCACTCAGTAATCCATCTTTGGGGGTGCAGAAGGGAGTGGAGGCCTAAAAATAAGCAGAAAGTGAAAAACTCAAGTTTTCCAAATAATGATGTAAGAGGAAATGCGTTGGATGGATAGGGGGTTATGAGATACAGTCTCAAGAAGAGGGGCACAAATAGCCAAACTGTGGAAAGAGCCAAGATGTCCATCGACAGATGAATGGATAAAGAAGATGTGGAATATATATACAATGGAATATTATGCAGCCATCAAAAACCCCCCCAAACCTTGCCATTTGCAATGACGTGGATGGAACTAGAGAGTATTCTGCTAAGCGAAATAAGTCAATCAGAGAAAGACAAGTATCATATGACCTCACTGATATGAGGAATTCTTAATCTCAGGAAACAAACTGAGAGTTGCTGGAGTGGTGGGGGGTGGGAGGGATGGGGTGGCTGGGTGATAGACATTGGGGAGGGTATGTGCTATGGTGAGTGCTGTGAATTGTGTAAGACTGTTGAATCACAGACCTGTACCTCTGAAACAAATCATACGTTATATTTAAAAAAAAAAATAGTAGGAAGGGAGAAATGAAGGGGGGAAATCGGAGGGGGAGACGAACCATGAGAGACGATGGACTCTGAGAAACAAACTGAGGGTTCTAGAGGGGAGGGGTTGGGGGGATGGGCTAGCCTGGTGATGGGTATTAAAGAGGGCACGTACTGAATGGAGCACTGGGTGTTATACGCAAACAATGAATCATGGAACACTCCATCAAAAACTAATGATGTAATGTATGGTGATTAACATAACAAAATAAAAGTAAAAAAAAAAAAGAAGAGGGGCTGGCAGTTTTTAATAAAGACTGATGTATCCCAATGATTTTTGGCAGTTACAGTGAGGCCATGTGCTGGTTCTTTTCCATCCTCTGCTCCTCTCTTCCTGCTCTGTGCCACAGAATGGTTCCCACAGAGCCTCTCTTTCTACATTTCCAGCTGGACATGATCAGTGGGAAGCACTTGCAGAAGAGTGGGTGATAGAAGGAGAGAGAGAGCAGGGTGCTTCTCCTCCTCCCTCCCTCTTCTGCACAGGATTCTGCAAAGCCCGGATATCCCTGAGACCTGAGAGCCTCTGGATCTGATACCACTACCCCCTTTCCTTGCTTCTTCCAGCCTAGGATGGCAATGGCTTCCCTGTTTTGCTGATCCCTGTCTATTGCTGTCTCCATTTTTGGTTCTCAAACCTCTACATAGTCTCTTCTCTGAGAAGACTCATCTCCCACCAGGACCCCGATTGATGGAAAGTTGTTGTTGGTATTGGGGGGGGTGTTATGGAAAAGATACTGAGTTCATTGTTGGTATGGTCCCCATGCTACACTGATTTACTGACATGAAACTTCATGACATTCTGTATCCAGAGAGCAGGAAGAGATCATTGGTGTATTTTCAGTGTTGCTTACATGTACTATGCAAACATTGTGAATATAAAACTACAGGCCTTTACTTCAGGGGCTTCTCTATTGAAACGATTTAGACAAATAAACAAAAGCCAATCTATTTTTATCCAAGCCCTCCGGAACCTGCTGAGCTTTTGGGTGGGAGGCGGAGAAGTATGTGAGGGGGTGTAAGTCTATCTGTGACTTTTAGGTTTTAGTGGTATTTGTGAATGAGGGAATATATGAATTCTTTAGCAGAAAGGAGAGAAGAAATTGGTCACAGGAGAGAAGCCAAAATAGGATCAATAATTCATCAGAAAAGGACTTTTGCAACTAGAAATAACTGTATGTACTTAAGCTGCCTGGGAATGTT